CCCCACATCAAAATGAGCTTGAATGGGCTGGAGTTTAGCCACCAGTGATTGTGTCTTGGAGAAAGAGACTGGAACAGAAACATGTGCAATCCACAGAACATATGTGTCGGAGTCCACCTCTGCATTCCTCTGGGATAATCTTATCTCCCTGCTGATGAGCTTAAAGACCTCTGAACTGTAGGGCAACACTCTCACATGCACAAGCACAAACAAAGCAAACTTGTGGTGGTGAAAGGATGGAGCATTTTGTTCAAGGAACAAATATTTTCCATCCTGTGAGTTGAAGATATAACTGCTCAGTTTAATATGTGAAAATGCATCACTTAGTAGATGAAACCCTTAAAAAAACTCAATAGAGCCAAAAATGAAAGACTTATCACCTTTCTTCCAGATTAAATTAGAGGCACACCAGGAGGGCTACAGTATTCCTGCCTATCATCAATTGTTGTTCAAAGAAGACTTGACCTGTTTTCAGCCTGGAAGTCAATATGCATAAACAAATGCTAATGTGCTTGAGTGGCTGTTACCTGCTGCTTGAATAGACTGAATGGTAACAATGCACCTGGCTGACCAAAGGTGATCAAGGTGGTTTTAAAATGCAAAAAAAGGGTTTTAAGCAGCAAAAGAAACACACATGTCCAAGCAAGTGTTTGGATGTTGATCTGATGTGTGATGTCAAGATAATGAAATGGTGACTTGCTCAGAAAACAAAAGAAAAACATATCAAAACATGCTAAATAAATATGCTCAGCTCCAGTAAAAGTTGGCTAAATAAAAGATTTAGGAGCTTATAATGTTTATCCTTATTGTATTATGAGATGGGATGTGTGCCTTTATTTTGAACATGTTGAAAATAATAAAACAACAACAACACAGGAGAGAGATTAAATAATAGACACTACAACGACAGACGCCCCCCCCCCCCGCCCCAGAGTAAAATGACAAATCTTAATAAATAACTTTACAACTGTTTAATATGAGTACGAGGAGACAATCTTATTTATTCCCTCTACTTTGAAACTATTTAGTAACTTATAACCACAAGTTTCCCCCTGTTTATGCCCTGTCCTGTCATAAATCCTTTCTTATAATTTGTTACATGAATTAGGTAACATGAAAAGAGATTTAGATATTTACAGATGTATATATACACATAAATGTACACACACATACATGTATAAACACACATAGTGTTTAAATAGTGCACACTCTGTACCTTGCAAAAACATATTTTTGTGCTGCTTTTTAATAGAGTCATGCTGGGACGGTTCATCACTCAGTGTGTTCCACAGCTTCACTCCTTTTTTATGTCGTACGGATACATGAATGTTTTAAATTTAACTTATTCTCTAGAAAACAATTTGAGCATACTGTGAGTAAGTAGATTGTTTAAAGCTTCGTACATAATTTGTGCTCCTTTAAGATTTATATCCGGGAGCCCCCCCCCCCCCCCCCCCCCCACACACACCACACAACTTCTTTCTGCAATATGGAACATTTATAAGCACT